TTTTATCTTGGGCTACTGTGTAGAATATGTTCCCATTTATCTCGTACCCTTTGTATGTGACGATATGCCATGATGGTTGCATAGCCAATAAATCTGATTGCTCATGGATGCTCTCATCACCTTGACATTTTTTTTCGCAACCAACCGCCGAAAGTTTCCATGTGCTTACGCGTAATCCAAGCTTCAGTCTTCCTAGAAACTCGGATCGTAAGAGATCCTTGTGTGTCTCAATATACGGATCTACCAAAGAGGAGTTACAGTAGAACTGTGTGTAGCGCTTTATTGAAATAATCATCATCCGTACCAATATATGTTTTCCTCCCTAGTGTCCCCTTTCCGCTTAGTCTCCCCTCATGTCTCGATTTAGGAACACCAATCGAGTCAAGGTCGGGAATAAAGTCAACACAGAACTCAATGACCTCTTCATTTCCATAGCCCTTGGCGATGCTTCCTTTCAGGTGAGCACGGTTGTGAACATATTTCTTGAGACTCCCATGAATCTCTCTAAGGGGAACATGTTGTGTAGGAACACAGGACCGAGAATGAAAATCTCCTTGACTAGGTGAACTAGGAGGTGTGTCATGATATCAAAGAAGGAAGGAGGAACACCAACTCAAAGGCGATGAGACATTGAACCACATCATTACGTAGTTTAGCTAGATCGGTTGGATCAATTGCCTTCGAGAAATTGCATTGAGGAATGCATATAACTTCACGGTGGCTAGGCGTACATTTGGAGATAGAATTCCTCTTAATGCAAGCTGGAAGTAATTGCATCATGAGAACGTGTGATACCATGGGACTTTAAGTTCTGAGAATTTCTTCTCGGCACATTTATAATACCCTTTATATTCGAGGAGAATCCAGATGGTACCTTGATGTTGTTTAAGCATTCAAACATGATTTCCTTCTCCTCTTTGCTTAGAGTGTAGCTGGCATGACATAAGTAATGGCGTCCATCATCTGTCTTCTCTGGATGCAGGTTGTCTCTTTCTCTCAAACAACGCAGGTCCTGTCGTGCTTCAAATGTGTCCTTAGGCTTTCCATACACACCCATGAAGCCTAGCAGGTTCACACAAAGATTCTTCGTCAAGTGCATCATGTTGATCGAGCTGCGGACCTCTAGGACTTGCCAATAGGGTAGGTCCCAAAATATGGACTTCTTCTTCCACATGGGTGCGTGATCGTTAGCGTCGTTCGGAACAGGTTGGCTGCAATGTTTAGTCGCGGAGTCCATAGAAATGACCATATTTTGACCTAGCAACGCATTGTCAATTGTCATTGCGTTGCATTGCACCCCAGACAGGACTCCGGACAATAAAATACTATGGTCGATCGATGCCGTTCTTTGTCGTACAGTCGCACGGCGACAGCCGATGGACCCGTTCAACCACCAAATCTGTCAGTCCCGGTTGTTCGGGCGTATCATCAAAAGAGAATGGATTTGCTTCCTATTGCACGGCCTTGCATTGCATCTGTCATACCAGTCGGAGGCACTAGTCCCTATGCTCATTTTTAATACACTATAAATTTCTCATTTTATAAACAAATAAAATTAAAAAACTCTAAAATTCTCTATATCTCTAAACAATGAAGTGTGCTATGCATGCTACAAATAAACGGTGAATACTAGTTTTTAATAGCTACTTTAACCTTCATTCATGTAAATATGCAAGCTTGAAGTTTAAAGGTTTCCAGAGCGTTTAACACTACTCTGCTTGCCGTGGCCATGGTCATTGTGTTCTCGTCTTTTACTGCGGCAGGTAAGTAATCCACATGATATTTCCGTAAATTAACAGAAGAATGGGAGTGTACACACATAACAATCGATTATCGTTTATATTTATATATATACTACGTTTGGGTACGGTGATTGACAGACTACTGCGATGATATCGGGACATGTGAATAAATAACCATCCGTACTAGTTGAACTTGCTTACGTGATCATCTCGGCAAGCATTTCTCCACCGGACGGCACCGTACTTGGCCACGGAAGAGCTTCGATTCTACGAAGAAGGGAACACGGTCTTCCACGACCGTTGCCGCTCTCCCTCGTAGAATCAAAGCTCCTCCTTGACGTCGTTACCGCTCGGCAGAGAACATGGTCGCCGAGATGAACACGGTCCGCAAGTTCAACTAGCTACTTTAACCTTCTTTCATGTAAATATGCAAGCTTGAAGTGATTTTGAGCTCAAATTGCTTATAAATGAAAAAAAACCACAATAAAGAACCATATATATATAGTGAACAAAATGAGATAAGACAATGGTGAAAAATGAGAGTATGAGATTGATAACCTTTACAACTGAAGAATCGACGGAGGAATCGAAGAAATCGATGGAGGAATCGAAGAATGGATGGAGGAACAATGGAGGGAGGGAGGAAGCAAGAACACTAGTGCAGTGAGCTTCAAAATGTGCTGAGCTCGTGCTCAGGGAGGAAGAAGGAGACGGCCGGGATATAAAGGGGGGACCTTTAGTCCCGGTTGGTGGTTTCAACCAGGACTAAAGGTAACTTTCCAACCCCGGGCGCAGCCACGGCCCGGGAGTAGATCTTTACTCCCGGTTGGAGCCACCAACCGGGAGTAAAAGTATACCTTTAGTCCCGGTTGGTGGCTCCAACCGGGACTAAAGGTCCCTACCACCTTTGTCTGGTGCAGTAGCCGTTGGGCAGGGACCTTTCGTCCCGATTGGAGCTACCAACCGGAACTAAAGGCATCTCTAGTCCCGGACGCAAAAAAATTCCGGAACTAGAGCCCATTTTGACCGAGGATCAAAGGTCTGTTCTCTACTAGTGCATCCTTCATAAATCTTTACCTTCTGACCTTCAACGGTATTTTGGTATTTTTAACGAATCATATTCGATTTTAATTTTGGACTGTGGTACAGTGAGTTTAGATTAGGCCTACCATTTATGCACTGATAAATGCCTACTCGGGAATTTTTATAGTTGTTTGATTAACACAGGCGCGGATATATAAACGTCACATGTGAGGTGTATGTATTTAGGCAGAAGTCCATCTTAATTGTATGAATTACACTTCTTTATTTCCTTCCTCCCTCTCTGTTAGGGCGCACTAGGAGTACGCCGACCAGTCTCCAGTCAGTTGGGTTCTTGTCCACTTTGTGCTCGTGGATGGGTGGGGTGTCACACTTCTGTGAGTTTAATTTCCAGCCTCGTTTAATACTCAGCTGATACTGCTTGAAGACTGTCTTGTACTTTTCAATAAAAATGGGTAAACAATTGAGTTAAATCACCACAGGATAAGATAAGGTATTCTATCACGATTCACCATGCATTGCCGTGCGACCGAAGCTATTGAGCTATTGCGCAGCAATGTATGGTTGTATAGCCATTTGTATCCCCAGAGGGGGCCTTTTATCCTATATGTAGATCATTGTATTGCAAAAAGAAGATATTCAGAATAGTACTCCGAAATATGTTTCTTTTTCAACATGAGTATAGAATAGTACATATATAGATGCGAGAGATCGGGTGATCAGATCTTAAGATTGACAATCTCACATTGATGGATACGTCGTTTACTATTAAAAGAGAATTAGCCAAAAATTTAAGTACATGAATCAAGTTAGAGACTCAAATCTAGGTAGCTAGGTTTTACCATATTTGGCAATATATCTTTTTAAACCCAAGGCCTAGCTTAGTTCGTGGTACCTATTCTGCCAAGGTTTTTGAGTAGTTCTTCCCTCTTAAGCAAAATTGGTGCATATTTTTTGCTCCATCGCTATTACAAATTGATGCATTTGCTTCATCAGTACTACAAATTGATGCCTATTTTTCTTTTATGATTTTTTGTAGAGAGAATATGGCCCTGTTCGCTTTGCTGAAAAGTTATGGCTGTACTGTTCCCTGATTTGTTACGAGAGAAAAATAATGTTCGTTCGCTGAAACAGTATGACTCATAAGACAAACGAACATGGCCTATATAGTACATCTAGTACATTTCTGCTACTTATTGTTCATTTAATTCACGTCAACTGCCATCCGTAGTTGTAAAAATATCGGATTGGGTAGTACAGTACGACTCAAGGAATGTACCTATCGAAACAATTTGGACGAACTTGCAAAACATAACACGTAATTCAGTAAAAAAAAAGATTTGTTTGCCGAGAGCAATAGGATAGTCCCGGATCCATTATTCAACGATGAAATGTCTTGGTGCGTACAAAGGCTATTTTGTCGATAGTGGCTCAAGAGTATCCTATGCCGTACACTGATGGCTGCTGATGCCTCAATCTAATCGATCCTGGCCACAAGAAGCGAACGTGGTACTAAAAAATTTCATCAGCCAATAGCATTGCAAATTGCAATGTCCCCTTCAGCTCAACATTGGATCAGCTACCATCGCCACCTGATTATGCAGAGGATGCAGCAAACTAACTGCTTGGTTTTACTTACGCTACATGATTGCGCAGTAACAGTGCTGAGTCAGTTCATGGTTCCAAGGGTTTGGTTGAAGAATAATGAGATTTGAGTAAGATTCATGAAACCACATCTCTGGGGCCAATTGTATAGATAGTTCAGAAAAGGTTTGGGGAATAAGTGAACAACCATTGACCAGGATGCTTTCTGGAACCCAAAGAGAAATACAGCAAGTCATAGCAAAGCTTCACATACTGTTCTTTTTTCACAAGAGAGCTTGACACAGAAACTGAGCTGAGAAACAAGTTCCAATGCGATGCAAAATACTGCAGGACCTTCCCAAAAAAAAACTGTTGTACAATGCGAATTGGCACTACCGTGCAGAGTGATTGCAGAGAAGGTTTTCACTGTCAAAGAATGCACAAGCGGAATTACATGACACGGTACAGACATTGTCCTTGTCCGTCCCAATCGACAGAGATTAACACCAAGATTATGTACTTACAGGGTGTCTTTCTAATCACTCACTTCAAGAAGAAGGCTGCAGTTTTGGAGCAGAAAGCAACAGCTACGAGCTACCTACCTTTGCAGTTCGCCGTGGCGCGCGCGGGGGGCTACACTTGGCTCTCCAGGTCCAGGTCCGGCTGCCGGCCGGAGGACCCCGGCACCTTGGCGCCGGCCTTGGGCGCCTGCTGCGGCGGCGGGAGCGCGGGGCGCGCGCGGCAGACGGGGCAGGTGGCGCGCGCGCAGAGCCAGGCGTCGACGCAGGCGACGTGGAACGCGTGCCGGCACCCGGGCAGCGATCGCACCGCGTCCCCGTCCTGCATGGCGCTCAGGCACACCGCGCACTCCATAGGCGAGTCGCCGCCGCCGCCGTGCGCGTCCGCCTTGAACCTGAGCACCGGCATGGCCGCCAGCGCCGCCTTGTCTATCCCACCCGCGGGCCTCTTCCGTGCGGGCAGCCCCGCGCCGGAGTCCGTCCGGTGCACGCCGTCGCGGCCGCTCCACCGCACGTAGAGGTAGTTCATGTACAGGATCACCCCGTACACCACCAGGCACACCGCCGTGAACGCGACCACCAGCTCCAGCGTCGCTCCGGAGGTGCAGCACCCGCGTTGGCCCGGTGGCGGCGACGGCGGCGGAGTTCCCGGCGACAAGTCCACCGTGGACATGACGCTCATTAGTTGGTTGTCAGCTACCAGATGAGGGATGCCAAGGCAGAGCAAAAGCAGAGCGTCGTGGCGCGGGTTTCTTGGCGAGCTCTGCTGGTCGCCGGATGGTGCGAGCAGGGAATTGTTATGGGATTTGGGGAGTAATGGTGGGGTTCGGATTGGTGGTCTGGAATGGTCAGGAGGTTTGTATAGCTGTGGATTGTGATCATGTCAGCGATTAGAGTGAGGATTATGTGATTAATTAACTGTGGTTTGGTGTGCTTCTCACTGCTCATGGATGGAGACAGGCTGCTGATGAGAGAGGGCGGGCTTTTGTTGCCACGAATGGTGAGGTGGCGATTGGAGTGGCAGTGAGCACTGAGCAGCACACGGATTTGGTCATTTGGATCTGGAAAAAGGGCACATGGATTTGGATCTAAAGATTGACCTCATCATTGATACGTACATCCATTTGTCAGCGGTGATCTCTCCAGCTCGCCCCAATGGCCGAGTTGGGCCTTGACCTTGTGTTCTAATCGGGGGCGTCCAACTCTACATAGTTGGTGGACCCAGTCATACTGCGCTATAAAGAGAGGTGGAGGCCGACAACTCTCTTCATGAGGTTGACCGAGCTACAGTTCCTCACCGAAATCCCTAATCCGATCTAGAGGGTGCGCAGCCAGTGACGGAACGCTCCACTCCCTCGCCGCCACCGGACTGCGTCACCGGACTTCACCGCCGGGACACCGCGCCACTACTAGACCACACCATCGGACCCCACAGCAACACGGACATCGCCATGGATGGCTCCAGCTCCTCCGCCAAGACCTCCGACGGTCGGTGACGTCTCACATCCGCACCCCTCTCTCTCTAGTTCCTCGTCATTGTTCATGTTCTAGGATCTTTTATCCCGAATAAAAAAGGTAGTACCCGCTAGATCTACGGCTAAGGTCCTGTTCTTTCTATCAATGGTATCATCAAAGCCTGTCTAGGCGTAGATCTAGACCGGGTTAGCAATTAGAAGGAGATGACACGAATTTTTATTTGGAAGAAAAGCAAATACCGATAGAACTTCAAACCCTAACCCTAACCCTAAAGTGGAAAGGACGGACAAAGGGGAGGAACCTACCTTGCCTCCATTGAAACCGCCGTTTGCGCGGGAAGAAGACCGCGCCGCCGCTTCGCCGGCACGCGGGAAGGAAGCCGCCGGAGGGCACGGCCTCATCGCCGCGTGTACCCTACTGGGACTGGGCTCAGGGCACCGCAGCAAGACCGGTCGACGGTGGCGTGCTCACCCTCGGGTGAACGCGCGCGCCGGCGAGGGGGCCTGCGGCGGCGTTGCCGACCTTCTTTCCTCCGGCTACGCTGCGGGTGGCCGTTGTCGTTGCTCTGCATCGCGTCGGGAGAGGGGTAGGGAAGAAATGAGATAGGGTTTCGGGGGTGGCCGCGGCGTCGGGTTTTTATTCGGCCGACGCGCGCGCTCGACCGTCCGATGCAGATGAACGACCGAGAACACTCGGGACGCATTGAGCCCAGGCGGGCGAGAGAATTCCCAACCCAGGCCCAGGTTGCGGCCTAGGCGCGGGGAGGCACCGAGCGCGTGCGTGAGTTGGGCCTAGGCTGCGCTGGAGCTGTGCTGGGCCGCGCGCGCTGTTGGGCTGCTGTTGCCGCACTGGGCTGCAATGCACAGTACTGTTTTTCATTTTTGTTTTATTATTTTTAGAAGCATTTTTGATGAATTATGTTAAGTTTTGACGATTAAATCTCTGTCAAAATTTGAATCAATGGAATAATTTTTTCAGAGAATAGATGAGTACAGTAAAATGCTTCAGAAAAGTAGATAAATTTATCTTTCATGTTTCCGCTGCAAATGATGATGTTTATGATCTTCTAATTAAATTCAAACCAACGGGATGATTTAATTTTGAGGAGTAGTTATAATTTAGAGTAAATTATGATATTGTTATTTTTTGACCAACATTGATAATAGCAATATTATAATATTGATTTATAAGTTTATGCATTAATTCTATTTTCTGCCCAACGGTGATGTAGAATTAATGTAGAAGAAGTTGTATGTTTTAATCTTGACCAACGTTAAATTAAGGCATGCAATCATTATGTTATGTTGTCTCACTTTCTCTGGCACTATTTTTCAGGACTCAACCCAATGGCTTTTATCTCGCATATTTCACCTCTTGAAGGGGGCAACTACAGAGTATGGCGAGAGAAGTATGAGCTCGCACTTGCGCTGTCCGAGAATGACTTAGCACTGACCTCTCCGTGTCCTACTCAGCCAGAGGACTCGGTGATGGCAGAAAATAAGATTGATGCTGATTTCAATGCTCGAAAGCGAGATCATGCAGAAGTTAGAATAAAATACGATCTTGATCGGAAGAAATGGGATATCTCGAACCACAAATGCTTGATGGTGGCCAAGTCCACTATCTCAGATGCTATAAGGGGATCAATCCTAGATTATGATACCGTCACCGAGTATCTTAAGATAGTGGAGAGTCAGTTTACTGGCTCTTCAAAGGCTTATGTAAGCACCTTGATAAAGAAATTATTCAATGAGAAATACTCTGGTGGAGGTATAAGAGAACACATATTAAAGATGAGCAATACGGCATCCAAGCTCAAGCCAATGGATTTGGGGCTCAAAGATGAGTTCCTGATTCATTTAGTTTTTGCTTCCTTGCCGAAAGAGTATGAAATTTTTGTTATTAACTACAACATGCAGTCCGATAAGTGGGACATTGAGAACCTCTTTGCAATGTGTGTGCAAGAGGAGGAGAGGCTTAAAAGCTTACAAGGTGACTCTGCAAACCTTGTGAAGAACAACAAAAGGAAGAATTTTAATGCCAAACCTCATGGGAAAGCCCCTCAGATTGATCACCAGCAGAAGAACAACAATGTACAAGTTGACAAGGATTAGTGCAAATGGTGCAAGAAGCGTGGACATTACCAGAAAGACTATCTAGAGTTCCTGAAGAACCTTCTGAAGAAAGGTGAGGACATTATTACATTCATAGATGAGTCATTGTATTTAAGTTATTCAAAATCTACTTAGTGGATTGACTTAGGTGCAACTATTTATGTTGCAAATTCATTACAGGGATTCCATACGAGGAGGACCCTGCGAAGAGGAGAAAGAAGAATTAAAGTAGCCAATGGAGTTGAAGCTGAAGTTGAAGCCATTGGAGATCTTTCTCTATAATTAGTTTATGGTTTTGTACTTAAGCTTTTAGATGTTCTATTTGTACCCTCTTTGCAAAGAAACTTAAGAAGTGTTTCACGTTTAGATAACGATGGATATGATTGCCATTTTGGTAATGGCAAATGTCAGATTGTTTATAATAATAAATGTGTTGGTCTTGCCTTTCGACAAAACAAGCTTTATTTATTATCACTTTCTGAGAATGTGAATGATATAAGTACTGAGAACGAGAATGCCTCTTCGTCTATGAATGCAAGTAATAAGCAGAAGAGAGTTCATGTTGTATCGTCAAAATTATGGCACTATCGTTTAGGCCATATTTCGAGGGAAAGAATAGAATGATTGATTAAGAAATCAACTCTTCTACCTTTAGAATTTTCAGATTTAGAGCAATGCATTGATTGCATAAAAGGAAAGTACGTTAAGAAAATAAAGAAAGATGCCAAACGAAGCACAGAAATTTTAGAAATAGTTCACACAGACATCTGTGGTCCTTTTCCTGTGAAGAGTGTGGATGGTTATGATTCATTTATAATATTCACAGATGATTATTCTCGTTTGGGCTATATTTATCTAATTAAAGAAAGATCAGAAGCATTGGATAAATTTAAGATATTTAAGGCTGAAGTAGAAAATCATCACAACTTAAAGATTAAGGTAGTAAGATCCGACCGTGGGGGAGAGTACTACGGTCGACACACCCTATATGGCCAAGTTCCTAGATCCTTTGCAAGGTTCTTACAGGAAAATAGCATAGTAGCCCAGTATTCTACACCAGGTGAGCCTTAGTAGGATGGAGTAGCTGAAAGACACAACCGTACCTTAATGGATATGGTGAGAAGCATGATAAGTTACTCTACCTTACCGATAAATTTATTGATGGAGGTGTTAAAAACCGCCATTCAAATTCTTAATCGAGTGCCAAGCAAGTCGGTGCCCAAAATGTCGTATGAGTTGTGGACAGGAAAGGAACCCTCACTTAACTATTTACGTGTGTGGGGTTGTCTAGCCGAGGCAAAAGTTTTTAACCCAAACATAGAGAAGCTAGACTACAAGACAGTCAGTTGCCATTTTATTGGCTATCCAGAAAAGTCAAAAGGTTATCGCTTCTATTGTCCTGACAGACAAACAAAGTTTATAGAAACAAGACATGTTGTCTTCTTGGAGGATGATATGATCAGGGGGAGCATGGTAGCGCGAGAAATTAGTTTTGAAGAGAAGCAGGTATACGTGCCCACTCCTATTGTTCAGGAGCCATTCTTCACGCTACCTGTTGTTGCTGTACCAACGGTGCAAGACACTGTAGTAACAACACCTGTTGTTAGTTCTCCTATGGCAACAATGAATGAACATGAGGAACCTGTCCTTCAGGATCCCCTTGAACCCGTTGTCACACATGAGGGAGAGCAACAACAGCCTCATATAGAACAAGTGTCGTCTATTGAGGCACCCAGAAGGTCTCAAAGAGTCAGGAGATCAGCCATTCTTGATGATTACGAAGTTTATGAATGTGAGGAATTTCAAATGGAGGGTGATCCCACCTCATTTGAAGAAGCCATGAGAAGCGCTCACTCATCCAAGTGGCTTGAAGCCATGGAAGCTAAAATGAAATCGATGAAAACCAATGGAGTTTGGGACTTAGAAACAATTCCTAAAGGATCCAAGATAGTAGGTTGTAAATGGGTCTACAAAACCAAACATGACTCCAAAGGAAATATAGAAAGATTCAAGGTGCGGCTTGTGGCGAAAGGCTTCACGCAAAGAGAAGGTATAGATTATAATGAGACATTTTCTCCAGTCTCATGTAAGG